TGTGTTTTAAATATGGAATTTGAGCTCTTAAAATGTTGTTGGTGTTTATGTGTCTAAAACTGAAATTCTAGTGATCACAATGGTTGTACTGTTATTGTTTGACAAGCTGGAAATTATATATTTAGTTCACTTCAATTATGGGCTGTTTTGTTATAAGTTTGGTGTTGTAATAGTGTTCAAAAACTGAATGATACTTGAAACATGCTGCCATGATACATTTGCTGTCAAAGTGTGTCCATAGAATTTCTATATGTTTTCTATGTCTAATAACTTCAATGTTGTATAGATTAGAGGACAACATGCTTGAGTTGATTTCTTGAAGGCTGTGATAGTATGTCATTGTGAAGCTTGCTGCCATGATAAATTTGTTGCCAAAGTCCGTTTATAGAATTGGATTTTGATGTGAGTAATGATGTGGTATCATAATATTGTGAAGCATGTGCATTCATGCATAACATTGGGCAAGAAAAATAGGAAAGAAATGTTTTGAAATGAAAAAGGAATGTTGGAAAAAAGATTTGAGAAAAGAATTTTGTGAAAACCCGGACGCCAAGAGGGTACCGAGGGTCCGTGGCGTTAATGTAGCCTAGAGGGAACTAGGGAGATCACCCTAGCGTGGTTGAACTATCTGGGCCCCAAATGACGTCGTGGGGTACCAAGGGTCAGGGACAGTAGTCAATCCTTCTCTCGTCGCTGAGGGGTTACCGAAGGGGGTTACATTAACGGTTTGAAAAGTGAAGAATGTAAGTGATTTTAAGTATGGGGAGCAACATCGCATGACCGCATGACATTGCACCCATTGCATGGCATATCCATTCATGACGTGGTTTTTAAATGTGATATTGCGGTTATTTTTCTCCCGGCATAGCATAGGACCAGTTAAGATATTGATTGGAAAGAATGTGGTAATTATGGAGTAATAGAGATGAATATTCTCATTTTGTGTTTATGATTAGACATGAGTGGTTATCCTTTTGTCTAGGTGCAGTAAATCATTAATACTAAAGGGTTCCTAGGTATTAATAGAGGGGTAGTCTTGTCAAGGTACAGGGGCATACCTTTAGACTGATGGTTGTGATAATGAGAAATGTGATTCTTTATATAGAAAGTTGTAATAAGGGAAATGGTTTAGACTCTGTGTATATGGTACTTCATATTCTTCTGTGTTGACTGTTTTGTGAGACAGCATGATGATGTGATGATTATTTTTGCCCTGATTTGCATGACTCCCTTTCTGATTCCTATTCTTTGTTTGGATTCATGGGGATATTAAGGAGTGGTGGTTAGGCATTTCCTGCTGAGCTGTGGTTACTCATTCCTATTATATATACATTTTTTTTCAGATTATGGACAAGAGGTCGTAGAGGGAATTCCTCCACAGCCATGGATGGATGTTGGGTTCTATTTGGTTTTATATCTTTGTATAAATGGGAAATGTATATTTTGAGACCAACATGTATATTTGTAAATATTCTTCCAAACAGATTTTGTTTAATTATTGTAATTAAAGGGTTATCGGATTTTAATTATGAAACCTACTTTTATATTTTCAGATAATGTATGGATAGGGAAATGGACTTTGTGTGTGCATGTTGGGACAAGATACGTTATGTAAAATGACTTTTGAAACAGGGGATTTTCTTATTATCAGCCTTGAGTATTAAAGTTTTATCTAAAAATTTTGGACAATGTTCCAGGGCTCGATCAGACGTTTCTGAATATGAATATTTCTTTGTTCTGTTTTATGTTCACAACCTGGATTACGGTCTAGGGTCGTGATAAGTTCCGAGGAGCATTGTTTCGGCCTGCCGAACTTCACCATCAGTTGACCAAACCTCCATCTTTAGCCGGTCGAAATCCATCATCAGTCGGCCGACAGTCCAGTTTGGCAAAGTCCCTAGAGCATGTAGTTTTGGGAATCGTTTCGGCCGGCTGCTCATCTTCACTAGCCGATCGAACATGCAGTTTCAGCCGGCCGACAAAGGGCCATCAGCCTGCTGATCTTGTCCCTTTGACCAACACCTTTGACTTCTCTTTCCAAACTGTATTTTGGAGTATCTTGGACCTTAAAATGATCTGTGTTCCACCTGTGAGCTTAGGAAAGGACGGTATTGCCCTTAGTTAGATTTGGCTTGTCTTGCTATTCAGGAGTGGAAAATGATGGAGGATATTGCAGAGATGGGATTGCATTTCAGTGACAGTGGTGAGCCTACCACATTATTTAGTCTCATGGCTCAACCTACACTTGTATGTATGTGATTTTGGTTTGGCGAGGTTTTTTATAACCACGAACGGCAAATCTTGTAACGACCCATTCCACCACATGGTATGATATTGTCCGTTTTGGGCCTGAGCCCGCACGATTTTGCTATTGGGCTTCACCCCAAAAGGCCTCATACCAATTGGAGGTAACACACTTACATATAAGCAATTCACCTTTCCTCTACCCAGGCGATGTGGGACTGTGCACCCGTAGCTCGCCAGTATGGTAGCCTGACAGTGTCTCTCGCACCCGCCCACGGCACACCCGCCCACAAGGTCTTCACAATCCACACCCCTTGGAGGCCCGACGTCCTCGTCGGCACACTTCCGGCTGGGTCAGGCTCTGATACCATTTGTAACGACCCACTCCGCCACATGGTATGATATTGTCCGCTTTGGGCCTGAGCCCGCACGGTTTTGCTGTTAGGCTTCACCCCAAAAGGCCTCATACCAATTGGAGGTGACACACTTACATATAAGCACTTCACATTTCCTCTACCCAGGCGATGTGGGACTGTGCACCCGTAGCTCGCCAGTGTGGTAGCCTGATAGTGTCTCTCGCATCCGCCCACAGCACACCAGCCCACAAGGTCTTCACTTATCGACAATGTAGTTATCAATTGGAGTTAGAGGAACAATTGGTTACGTTGCACCAGGTAATTTACTATTATATGTCTATTCCTTATCTTTTAATTATTTCTTTTCCTATATGCTCTCTCATGTTTTTATTTAGTTTTGAACCTCTTTGACAGTGGATGGGTGAGTGATGAAATTACGTAAATTATTTTGAACATCATCTTAGTGAATTGCATGTGACTCCATCTTGCATAACCAAGTAGCTCCATATTAATACTTCATTTCTATGTAGGGTCAAAATATAAATCATGAAAGTGATTAGAAATTATTGAAGTACTTAAACAATTTAAACACTATCATTTGTTTCAAATTGCAGAATATGGTATGGGCGAAGAGATTTCAATGGAAGGTGATGTGTACAATTATGAAATTCTTTTACTAGAAATGTTTACCGGAGAAAGGCCAACCAGTAATATGTTTTCAGACAATTTCAACCTTCATAACTATGCTAAGATGGCGCTTCCGGATGGACTGATGGAGATTGTCAATTCTCTACTCATATTAGAAGAAAAAGATGAATCTGAAACAACCAACCAACGCAACATTGCTAGGAACAAATGATTGCTTGGTATCGGTCCTTAGAATTGGAGTCATTTGCTCTTTTGACTTGCCAACAGAACGGATGGATATTAGGGATGTTCTAAATGAACTCCACAAGATTAGAAAATCATTTCTAATGTACGGAGGAGGGGGACGGAGAGAGAGAGAGAGCGAGATGGAAGAAGTAATTCCTAGTTAGACAATTATTGCCTGTTCATTACGTAATTTTTACAATAATGTGGTATTTCTGAAAGTTAAAAGTTCAACTCTATGTATTTTCATCGTTATTTTCTTGTAGCTAATATTATCTTCAACTTCATGAAATCAATAAGAAGCTAAGCTTGTAGAAAGGAAATATATTGAATTTTTGACTAAGAGGTTCTGACTAAATTAGCTGCTTTCTTTGCGAACACCCTTTTATTCTAGCTCGCTTTCCACATGTAAAGAAAACAATCAACCGCAATAGTTTTATGTCCTGTTTCTTCATTTTCCATCTCTGTCTCTCCTAATTATAAATCGAGGACAAAGGCAAAAACTCTATAATAGATTTTGTTTATTGTTAATATATTGATATAAAAAAAACATTAATTATCTCTCTTCTATAATATGTATTTTTTAATTTTTTATTGTCACTTCTTGACATTCAATAAAAATCATAACACACCATACTATAAAGAAAACAAACAGTGGTCCTATAATAGAGAAAAAAAGAAATATCAGTCATACCACATCATGAATTTTAAGTTCTCTAAAAACAACAACAAAGAATAATTGACATCAGTTGGGATTGAACAGCAGCATGAAAGCAAATAAACCACTTTTCTGTTCCAAATGAAACTGACGAGCAAGCTTTGCTGGCCATCAAGGATCAGAATTTTGAGCATCCTTTCAAGGTTTCTAGCCCATGGAACACGAGTCCGACCACTTTTGTTATTGGCAAGGAGTTACATACAGACATGTATGCTTGTATATATGTGTGCCATCATCGCATAGACTCAGTCGTATCAACACTTATTCTAGAAGTGGGAGTGACTGGCTTAAGAGTTAAGACTTAATAGTTTTTTTTTTATAAAATTTGATCCAAATAAAGAACACAAGTCAAACACTCTGTGTTCCCATTTGGATCTCCACCCTACCTATTTGGGTGATTCTGATACCAACGGTAACAGATTGGTCACTTGTCTGCTTACCTAAGAACTTAAATTATTATGTAATGCAACGTACCTACTCATATATTCCTATTTCACTTTCCATCCAGGTGACTTTCTCTCATGGTAGGTCCTCCCAAAGTCTTGATCTACATATACAATTCATGTTTTCTTGGCATGTTAGGGGATGGGTCTTTGTTCAAATAGAGGTAAAGTCAAAGATGATAATGGTGATGAGATAAATTTTTGTACTTATATGTTGGAAATCAACCGTTCTCCAATTAAGTAACGGTCATGGATGGTGGCTTTTGGAATTATTTTCGGAAGTCTCAAAACCTGGAATATTTTACCACTAAGTCATGGAAAATGATTCCATCTACACTTCACCCACTGCATTATAAAAAAACTGAACTTTGAGAGTCGGTTTCATCACATTCAAACTCCCCAAGATATACTTTATTTCCACAAAAATATAAAGTGATAGGAGCACCAAAATATGATTTCAGAGGCACTAAGGTCAGCTCTCTTTCTCTTCTACGTCCTGAATCTTTTATTAATTTCAAATGCCACAACGAGTATCGCTTTTGGTTTCACAAATGAGACAGACAAGCAAGCTTTGTTAGCCATCAAGGATCAAATTCGTGAACACCCCTTAAACGTTTTGGAACGATTCTATCCACTTTTGTAATTGGCAAGGGATTACATGTAGTAGGAGGCATCAGAGAGTGACCGTCCTAAACTTGTCCTCTCAGAAATTAGTGGGTTCCAATGTTCCATGTCCGCTCATATAGGAAACCTTACCTTCCTTAAGGCGATCTATCTCGAGAACAACTTCTTCCATGGCGCTATCACTCCAGAAGTTGGTCGATTGTTTCGGTTACAACATTTTTCGCTTCACACAAACTCTTTCCAAGGTGAGTTTCCTGCTAATTTGACTCACTGCTTAGACATCAGAGTCATCAACATGTCAGAAAACAATTTTGTAGGAAAAATTCCTAGCGAGCTAGGATCATTGTCTAATCTCTTAGAATTGGATCTTACCTTTAATCATTTCAGTGGCAATATCCCACCTTCCTTGGGAAATCTATCATATCTTCAAAAAATTTTGCTTAGGCGTAACAGCCTAGAAGGAAGCATTCCTTCTGAACTCGGACAGCTTTCCAACTTAGAGTACCTTCAGCTGTCTTCTAACAACTTGTCCGGTTTGGTTCCGACCTCTCTTTACAATAACTCATCCATGATTTACTTTGTCGTAACTAACAACCAACTACATGGAAGCCTCTCGCCAAATTTGGGATTGAGCCTTCCAAAATTACAAATATTCTTATTTGCAGTCAACAACTTCTCTGGGCCTATTCCATCTTCACTAGCCAATGCTTCTGGATTTGTACACTTTGATATTACAAAGAACTCTTTTACTGGGTCTGTACCGATGAATCTGGGTAACCTTGGTGATCTAGAAAAGCTAAACATTGGTGGTAATGAACTTGGAAGTAATAAAACCGATGACTTGAGCTTCCTCGATCCTTTAACCAATTGTTCGAATCTGATGGTACTGAATTTTCATAGGAATCTTTTTGGAGGTGTAGTACCCAATTCCATTGGAAATATGTCCACCAAGCTCATCTCGATTTCAATGCAAGGAAACTACACATATGGAAGCATACCACAAGTCTTTGTGAACCTTATCAGCTTGGAAGATCTAGCATTGAATGAGAACATGTTCACAGGCAGTATTCCTGAGTCCATTGGTAGACTTTCAAATTTGCAGCAGCTATCCATTTACACAAATAGCATCTCTGGGCAAATTCCATCATCTATCGGAAACCTTTCTCTATTCATTATTCTCGAATTTGAGGATAATATGCTAGAGGGAAGTATACCTGTTTCTTTGGGTTACTGCAAAAACTCACTAAAATTGGATCTTTCATCCAATCACCTCACCGGGGCAATACCAGATCAAGTTCTTGCTCTTTCTTCCATTACACTTGGTCTCTTCTTAGGTGACAATCGCTTAACTGGACCATTATCGCCTCAAGTGGGTAACTTGAAGAATATAGGGCGTTTGGATCTTTCAAACAACAAACTCTCTGGAGAAATCCCAAGCACTCTTGGGAATTGTCTAGTGTTGGAATTTCTATCTTTGAAGGGTAACTTTTTTGAAGGTACTGTTCCGCCATCTTTCAAGCAATTAAGAGGTCTTCAAGTCCTAGATCTTTCTCGCAATAATTTGTCTGGGCAAATTCCAAGTTTTATAGGTGAGCTATAACTAGTTGAAAATCTCAATCTGTCCTATAATATGTTCGAGGGTGAAGTTCCAGCTGAAGGAAAATTCAAGAACGGAAGTGCATTTTCAGTTGTCGGCAATAACAAGCTTTGTGGAGGATTCCAGTCATTGAAATTGCCTGCATGTCCCGAGAAAGCTCCAGCAAAAGAAAGGAAGCTCTCTGCTGGTAGAGTGATAATTCTAGTAACCAGTATCACTGCTTCTATTTTATTGTTAATTGCGTGTACTTCTACTATTTTTTGTCGGATCAGAAGATCAAAGAAAAAAACCACTTCAGATTATCCATTGGGGAATCAGTATCCAACTCTTTCTTATGCAGAACTTCAACAGCTACCGATGGATTCTCTTTAGCCAACTTGATTGGTGAGGGGAGATATGGTTCTGTTTATAAAGGAATTCTCGATTCTGAAGAAGTTGTTGCTGTGAAAGTTCTCAACCTTTGTGACGTTTCCAATTTTCTACATTTTTCATTTTTCCGGTAATTCGTTGATGCAAGGGTATTTTGGTCTTTTCACGTTTTGTGTACGGGTTTTTAGTTGGGTCCATTGCACTTTGTGCATTTTAATTTATGTGGATTAAGTGGTATTTGTATGTAGTGCATTTATACATGTGAGGTGTAAAATGAAAAAAAAAATGAAAAGGGAAAAGAAATTTAAAAGTGGTGGGACCCACCACTATATCAAGAGTGGTCTAGAGACCACATTTCCAACCTTCATTCTCTCTCCCCGCTGAATCTCTCTCTCACTCTCTTGTTGTGCTTTTTCTTTTTCTTTTCTCTTTCAATCTTTGAATTACGGTATCTCACTCAATACTTGGTGGATTGGAATGCCGTTTGAGGCAAAACGGAGAGCACGGCGAGCTCTACGCGTTCATACCAACAATTTCAGCCTTGAGTATCCCCTTGGCTTTCGAAATTGGAGACCCATTTTGAGGGTTTTACACAAATTAAGGTAGGGACCCTTAATCCATGAAATCTTGTGCTTTAGTGAGTTAATCTACTTGATATGTGTCTTAGAATGCTTAATTATGTTAATTATAGTTTAAATTGACTTAATTGAGATATATGAATATGTGAGAATGTGTGTTAAATATGTTGTATGAAAAGCATGCTTATATGATAACCATGGAACTATGTGGATTAAATGGTTTATGTAAAGAGCATGTTTATGTGTTGATTTTCATATGCCAAAAATGCTAGAATATTGTTATATGCCGTTATGTGGTAAATCCTTTGGGAATTTTTGTGAACCATGCCTTGTTAGTTAAATTTGAACTAGTCATGGGATTATGAGCATGGACATAGCATTGATGCATTCATGCACTGGCATTGGGCATAAAAGGGAATAAATCGTTTTGAAAAGAAAAAGAGAATTTTAGGAAAGTATTTTAATGAATCGGTTTTGTGAAAACCCGATCGCCGCGGGGGTACCAAAGGGCCGGAAGGTTAATATAGCCTAGAGGGAACTAGGGAGATTGCCCTAGCATGGTTGAGCTAGCTGGGCCCCATAATGACGCCGCGGGGGTACCAAGGGTCAGAGACACTAGCCAATCCCTCTCTCGTGTCGCTGCGGGGTCACCAAAGGGCGGGTTATATTAACAGTTTACAAGTGATGGTTTTGATTTTGAAAACGGGAAGCGACATCGGCATGCATTGGATTCCCATTGCATTATGTTACTTATGTGGAGATTAATTATTATATTGTGGTTTCCCTACATGGCCCGATCCCCATTCTCATTGCTCTATTCTATGTTTGGATTCACGGGGACACAAGAAGCGTGTCTTAAGTGCTACCTACTAAGCTTTATGCTCACCCTATTATTTAATAAATTTTTTTCAGGAAACGGGAAAGAAGTGGCGGATGACTTTCCACCACAGGCCTAATTTGGATTAGAAGACTTCTTTTTGCTATTTTTGTATTAAGTCCCATATTTTTGTAAAATCTTAGTTTGTTATATTTGGTATAGAGATTTGTGAACTCTTGTTATTGTAACTATATTTTGGAACTGTAATTATGATAATTTGGATTAAACGGTATGTAGATGTTCCACCATGAGATGAGCCATGTTGAGGTATAATGAACGGATGGATGGGATGTTGGAGTATATTAATTGTATTATGTGTTGGGTCAGGTTGGAGGTGTTTTGAAAGGCCAAGAAGGGTCATTGCGTTTTTTTTTATTTTAGCAGGTGGTTGTAGTCCCCTTTTTAGGAGAGGTCACGCCAAAAAAAAAAAAAAATTAAATGGTATCAGTTTAGGGTCATTTCAACCTTCAACAACATGGAGCAAACAAGAGTTTCCTTGCTGAATGCAAAGCATTGAGCAACATTCACCACCGCAATCTCCTCAAGATCTTTACATCTTGTTCAAGCATAGATTCTAAAAGAAATGATTTCAAAGGCTTTGGTCTTTGAGTTCATGCCTAATGGGAGTTTAGAGAACTGGTTACACCCAATTTCATCTAACTAACTGGATCCAAGTTCATCCATGCGGCTGAATTCAAAGAATTTGAACCTCATCCGAAGATTGAACATTACCATCGATGTGGCCTCTGCAATGGATTATCTTCACCATCAGTGAGAAACATCAATCATTCATTGTGATCTAAAGCCAAGTAACGTTCTACTTAACGGTGAGCTTTGTGCACGTGTACATGATTTTGGTCTTGCAAAGTTTCTTATAACCACCAATGGGAAATCTAATTATACACAAAGTAGTTCATCAATTGGAGTTAGAGGAACAATTGGCTACGTTGCACCAGGTAATTTACAATTATATGTCTATTCTTTAACTTCTAATTATTTCTTTTCGTATATGCTCTCCCATGTATTTATTATTATATGTCAATTCTTTAACTTCTAATTATTTCTTTTCGTATATGCTCTCCCATGTATTTATTTAGTTTCGAACATCTTTGACAGTGGATGATGAGTAAAATTACGTAAATTATTTTGAACACCACCCGGGTGAATTGCCTGCCATATGACTCCGTTTTCCAACTAAGTTGAGCATATTAGATTGTAGTATTTCATTTTTATGTAGTGTAGTGTCAAAATATAAATCATGAAAGTAATTTAGAAAATAGAAAATATTGAAGTACTTCAACAATTTTAAGCACTATCATTTGTTTCAAATTGCAGAATATGGTATGGGTGGGGAGGTTTCAACGGCAGGTGACGTGTACAATTATAGGATTCTGATACTAGAGATGTTTACAGGAAAAAGGCCAACTAGTAGTATGTTTACAGACAACAGCCTTCATAACTATGCTAAGATGGCGTTTCCAGATGGAGTGATGGAGATTGTCGATTCTCGACTCATATTGGAAGAGGAAGATGAATCTGAAAGGACCAACCAATGCAACATTGCAGGAACAAAAGATTGTTTTGTATCGGTCCTTAGAATTGGAGTCGTTTGCTCTTCTGACTTGCCAAGAGAACGGATGGATATCACGGATGTTCCAAATAAACTCCATAAGATTAGAAATGCATTTCTTATGTATGGAGGAGGGGAGGAAAAGAGAGATAAAAGAGATGGAAGAAGTAATTCCTAGTTATATAGTTATAGCTGGTTCATAAGGTAATGTTTAGAATAACGAGGCAAATTTGAAAGATTCAGTTCCATTATATGTAATTTTATCATTATTTTCTTGTACCTATGTTTATCTTCAACTTCGTTAAAATTAATAAGCAGCTAATGCTTGTAGAAAGGAGATATATTGAATACTAAGTTTTACTTGGAGGCAACCAATCTAGAGGGAAGCATTCCTTCTGAACTTGGACAGCTTTCCTACTTGAAATCCCTTCAGCTTGGTTTAAATAATTTATCATGCACGCTTCCTACAAGCGCTCTACAATATCTCATCAATCAATTACTCTGCCTTACATGGAAGGCTCCCACCAAAATCTCACTATCTATTGGAAACATTTCTCGATCAAGTATTCTTGTCCAAGCAGAAAATATTCTGGCGGGAAGCATACCTGTTGCATTGGGAAATAGCACAAATCTTCAACGTAATCACCCCACTGATTTGATACCCGAGCAGTTTACTGGACTCTCTTCCCTTATATTTTGTCTTTAAATCAAAATTATTTGACATTAGCACCACCATCACAACTGGGTAATGATTCTGCTTATAAAGGAATTCTAAATTCAGGTAAACAAATTGTTTTGAAGGTACTCAACCCTTAACCAAATGGAGCTAACAACTTCTTCTTGGCTGAATTCATAGCTTTGAGGAACATTCACGGCTACAATCTCCTCGAGATCATCACATCTTGCTCAAGAATGGACATTAAAGGAAACGATTTCAAGCTTTGGTCTTCGGAATCATGCCGAGTGGGACTTCTTTACCCACAACCCATCTTAATCTGAACAGCAGGATCCAAAGAAATTTATCAAATACAAGCGTTAAACATTGCCGTTGATGTGACCTCTGCATTAGATTCTCTTCAACATCTTTGTGGACCAACAATCGTCCATTGTGATCTAAAGCCAAGTAATTCTCTTCTTGACAGTGAGCTTTGTGCTCATGGATAATTTTGGTCTATCAAGGTTTCTTATATCCACTAGTTCTTCAATTGAGATTAGAGGAACAGTTGGTTATGTACCAGGTAATGCATTATCATATATTCTGTAACGTCTGTGTCTTATTATAAATATAAGTGCATATGTGTATATATTTGTGTGTGTGTGGTGTAATTTAAAAGCAAAAGAAAAAGAGAAAAGAAATTTTTTTTTAAAAATGGTGGGACCCACCATTAAACCAATTAAGGGCCAAAGAGACCACATATTGTCTCATTTCTCTCTTCTCCCGCTGGTTCACTCTCTCACCCTCTTTCTCTGGATTTAGTTGTTTTCTCCCTCATGTATGGTTTGATTTCGGAAACAAAATCTTTTTAAGTTGGGGAGAACGTAATGTTTATTAATTTATGCAAAAGTATAAAAGGGATATTTGTTTTTTTTTTAGTGGGCCCCATAAAACACTAAACACATTTTGTATCACCAAGTATCATTTTGTGGCCATTTTCTCTTCAGCTTCGGGACTGAACTCTTTCTGTCTCTCCTTGGTTTTCTTCTTTTATTATTTTTCTACCATTTTAACTTTTGATTTCTCACTCATCTCTTGGAAATTTTGGATCCCGTTTGCAGCAAATTGAAGCCCACGACGAGATCTTCAAATCCATACTAGCAATTTCAGCTTTTAGCCACTCTAAGGAGTCCGAAAATTGAGACCCATTTTAAGGGTTTGAGTTGAAAATTGGGGCTTTTAGCTTAGATTGAGATAGGGGTCTAACGACCCAAACCCGGAGGTCCGAACAGTTAGCCGGGTCCTTACTCAAACCCGAGGTCATCTACGTCAAACCCATCATATCTAGAGGTGTAATGACACTTATAGGATCATAACTAGGCTTTCACATTGGCTCAAAACAATTCTCCAAGGGTCGAGAGTGGAGAAACAAGTGAGGAAGAGCAAAGCAACCTAAACAGGTGCACTTCGGTCGACCGAAGTGGAGCTTCGGTCGGCCAAAGCAGACCTTCAAGAAACAGTCGACCGATACAAGAGATCCCGAGAGTGTGAAGATGGTTCGGTCGATCGAACCCCATTTCGGCCGACCGAAACATGAGATCCCGAGAGCCAACAATAGGTTTGATCGACCGATGCACCATTTCGGTCGACCGAAGTGGCTTCTTCGAGCCCAGAAGCTAGAACTAACATGCTGCACTTTGGAAATGAAAGGAAAACTAAGATGGGGACTTTAGAATGATTCAAACATGGGCTAAACCATCAAAAATGAGACATTCCACAATCATGAACATGAGTACTATCGCATAATCAACTTACAACATCTTTTTAAGTTATTACATGAAGTTATACACAATATTACATTAATCCCATTTACATTCAATGAATACTAAGTGTCATTCTTAAGTTACAAAGCCATGAATATTAACATTTGTTACATTCTTAAAACTATGGTTATAGACCGAATAGCCAAAATACAAAACAGCAAAATGATCTTCTAACAACTTTCAAGCCTGCAGTAGATTATCATCCACCAATTCCTTTCCATGACCTGAAAAATGATAAGTACAATGGGGTGAGTGAATCGCTCACGTAAGTGGCACCTAAGACACGCTTCTTGTATCCCCGTGAACCCAACCAAAGAATAGAACAATAGAATTCGGGGTCATGCTATGTCGGGAAAGCTCAACATAACAGTTAATCTTAATATAAAAAATAAAATGTCATAGAATGCAATGTATGCCAAAGTCACTCCCTATTTTCAACATTCAAAACCATCACTTTCAAACAGTTAATATAACCCGCCCTTTGGTGACCCCGTAGCGACACGAGAGAATGATTAGTTAGTGTCCCTGACCCTTGGTACCCCCGCGGCGTCATTTTGGGCCCAACTAGCTCAACCACGGTAGGGCAATCTCCCTAGTTCCCTCTAGGCTATATTAACCCTCCGGCCCTTTGGTACCCCCACGGCGATCGGGTTTTCATAAAACCAATTCATCAAAACATTTCCCCCAAAATTCTCTTTTTCATTTTAAAACGATTTCTCCCATTCATGCCCAATGTTAATGCATAGATGCATCAATGTCATGTCCATGTTCATCATTTCATAATTAGCTCAAGTTTAACTAACAAAGCATGGTTCACAAGAATTGCTACGAATACAACATGCCTCCATAAAATAAAAATCTACATTTTAGGCATACGAAAATCAACACATAGGCATGCTCTTCACATAAATCATTTAATACATATAGTCACACAAGTAACATTCAGGTATACACAACAACCAAACAATTTGCTGAGTTCTATACAATTTAATCATGCGAAGCAACAATTCATGAAGAATTAACTCACTAAAGCACAAGATTGCATGGATTAAGAACCCCTACCTCTTAGAATGCGAAAACCCTCAAAATCGGTTCAAATTTTGAAAATCAAAGGGAGACCCAAAGCTGAAATTGTTGGTACTCATGCGTAGAGCTCGTCGTACTCTCTGTTTTGCCTCAAACGACACTCAAAAATTCCAAGTATTGAAGATAGAATCTAGACTTGAAGTTTGCTTGTGAGAATGGAATAAAA